CCGGCTAAAAATCTGCCAGCGAAATCCATCTCAATGGGAGAAATCCCAGACGGAGCAGTGAAGGGAAACTAGAACTGAGCGGAGCAGCGTAGGAAGGCAAGGGCCAGGCTAGGCCAGCCTACATGGCACTGAAGAAATTTATTTAATTTAGAAATTAATTGAACACGTATTTCTAACAGCACTGTAAAAATCAGAAGGTTGCATGTTCAAATCACGTCTGGGTCACCAATTTGAGTTGAATTGTATATGCAAATTTTTCAGCCTGAGTAATACACTGATTTAATTTCAGTTAAATGCTTATTATTACTCTACTTCACTCAAAGCCCCTCTGTGACTACAGAGTCTAAACAAAATGGCCACAAATCACGTGTTCAAACTGTATTTATAGAAACCCTGGTCACACCCTGGGGGGGTTGTCCTTATGTCAGCATTGGAATGCTGGAAATGTAAACAATTACTGTATTCTTACACTAGTGGAGCAAGGCATATAGAGACTTGTTGATTCTCTTTGCTGTTTAAAGCAAATGATTAAAACCAATCACAAAGATAYGAGACTGTATCTAAAATTTAGTTAGTCACAAAATGTATTTCAGCCCAATTTGACTTCAGCTACTGTTGCTTCAGAYGAGAGTAAMGTTACATGAATCGTTTGCAGCAACATTTTTTTCCACACAAGTTTAACTATACAACAACAGTAGCATTTTACTAGGCRACAAGCTAACGCTAGCTACCATTAGCTTACAGCTTTCTGTCGTTCTTCCCTCTTGTCTTCAGCATCATTTTGCTGGATGATCCGGTTCAGTCTTTGGTATATTTGCTTCGACTTTGATGTAGTCCATTGTTGTGTCGCAAAAGAAAATGAAAAAAGATTCCCACATGTTTAGTATTATAATCCCTGCCCACCTCGAGGTGGCACCCTGCTCAAAGCAGATACAACTAGCCGGGTTAGAATTAGGTCGGGCCGACTGGGGCTGGGCCTTTCAATGCAAAAATGCCTTTTGTAACAGGCTTTGTTACAATAAAACACAATATGTTAATGGCATGGTCACAACTGGTGATTAGATTTGCGTCTTCCCGATTTTGCTTCTTTGTTTAATGCTGCAATCAAGGGAAGACAGAGAAGAGAGGCAAAGAGAAGAGAAGGCAAAAGGGTCATATACTCTTGGATGGACAGAAATAGTCGGCAGCCCTTCAGGCTGGAGTCTCAGCTTTGGTATCAGTAACACAAGGACAGATACAGGGACGTGTATAAGGCTTCTGTGAGCGTGTTTGTGTGCTTTGTGTGGGCTGAAGCCACATCAAAAGGAGGAAAGTCATGTCAAAGCAAACCTGGAAGTCACATCAAGTCAGTTCTCGTTAATCCATTTCAAAGTCGGTCCTCTAAAGGCAAAAAGCAAAAAAACAAAACAAAAAAAGAACAACAACAACAAAAGGCATGACAGCATCCGAAGCGCCGCCGTCATTCACTCCTGAGAAACACTGCCAAARGATGCCATGTGCACACAAATGCACACCAATCCACCCACACA